TTCATTTGTATAAATAAATATGGATACATAAAAACTGCTTTCCTCAGAAAATTTTAATTGAAAAACTGAGTGTCTTTAAACCAAAATATTCCAGGTGAAAACCAAAACTGTTCAGTATTTGAATTTCTACCAACAAATTGAAATTTTCTGTGAAATCCTTGATCCCCCTGACCCCTTTTTTTTTTTTACTAGTTTGAGTCTCCTTTGTGGATTTGGAGGCTTTCATCTCACTGGCCGTGATTTGGTTTTCAACACATCTCACACATTTTATTCCATTACCTCATTTAATACTTGCCCCTAGGCATCACTATGATTTCGGGGAAGGGGGACGTGCGTGCATCCAGGTTAGCAATCGAAAGCGCAGCCTGGGGCATTGCGACCTGGTGTGTGGCGTTCCAGCGCCACTCCGATTTGGCCCGGCAGCCCCCCTGGCCCTGTCACATGAGAGGGGCAGCTAGGCCAAATCTGAGCTCTTGGCTGTGACCTAGGGTGACCAGATAGCAAGTGTGAAAAATCGGGACAGGGGATAGGGGGTAATAGGAGCCTATATAAGAAAAAGACCCAAATATCGGGACTATCCCTATAAAATCGAGACATCTGGTCACCCTACTGTGACCCCACTGCACCGTGCCCGGAGGGGGGAGCTGGGGCAGGAGCAGCCACTGTGGGGTGAGGGCAGCCCAGGCTCACGCTCCTGCCCCTCCCAGGCAGAGGCAGGCAGGGACCTGACTGCTTTGGGGCCGGGGGTGACATCTGCTCTGCAGGGGGAGTCAGTGGCCGCCTCGCCCTCTCGCTGAGGGAGGGAGGAGCTGTGGTGATTCCTCGGGAGGATTCCCCCGCCCCCGCCGCCTGACAGCTCAGCGGAGTCCCGCCGCCCAGTCAGGGAGGGGGGGGGTCTTAACCCGCGCCACTCAGCGCGCGCCGAGCCGAGGGGGAGGGGATGGAAACCCGCGAGCACGAGCTCCGCTACGTCAGCCGTTGGCGCGCATCCTCTTCTGGGGAAAAGGGAGGGGCGGGGCGCGGACCGCGCGTGCGCACTGAGGCCTGGGGGGTTGGCCTCTATATAAGCAGGAGGGCGGCGGTAACGCGCCACAGGCACTAGCGGTCCAAGTATCAGTTAAGCAGCGTCTCGTGAGCGCAACCCGGGCGGCAACGATGGTGAAGACCGTGGAGAGCCTGGTGAGCAGCGGTTGGTGGCGGGGCGGCCCCGCCAGCGTCTCGGGGGCGGGTAGGGCCCGCTCGGGGCGGGCGGGGTCTCGAGGAGGTTCAGTGCCCGGGAACGCGCGCGAGCGCCGCCCCGCCTCGTGCCCGCGCCGTAAGGCTGCGTGGCCCCGCCGCTGGGGGGGCGGGCGCGGCCGGGCACGGCGCGGTTCTTCCCCCTTCCTCCGGGGCCCCGGTGTCCTCGGGGCCTGGCCCGCTTTGCACGGCCGCCCCCACCCCACTGCGCCAGGCCTCGGGGAGCTGCTCTCCTGAGGAGCCTCTGGCTGAGCCGGCGGCCGGTCTGCGCTGGGGAGGGGATCCGTTCTCCCCCCCCCCTGGCGGGACCCCTTGTGTGGGAACCCCCCCCCGGTACTGCGCGCGCCCGGGTAACTGGCCCCTCCCCCCTCTGTAATTGTTTGGGGGTCTCGGTTCGAGTGGTTCTGCTGCAGGGCCACGGAGTTCCATGGGCCAGAGCGGAGATCCGCTGCCGGGTAAACTGTCAGCAGCTGCGGCGAGGATTGGCGCTGTGGGCCCACCGCCCCAGTGGGCCCTGCATCAGTTAATTGGGAAAAAAAAAAACTTCAGCAGAAACTGATGTCGGGCACGCCCTGTGCTATCAAAGTATCGCTTCTTACTTGTCACTGGCAGAGGTAGCGCTTTGATGATGTCAAGGCACTAATATTTTGTCTGCCCTCTAAAAATGAGACTGATGAATACAGGTTCCGTGTCCTCTGTTGATTAGCTTGTGTGATAGTGCAGTAGTGTAACAATTATGGAAAGTAGGCAGATTCCCTTCTTGGGGGGAGGAGGGAACATTAGGTCAGGAATGGTTTGTGCTCATCTGTGCAAGGAGTTTGCCTAGTACTTTGGGAAGTGTGAGTAAAAGGGGGACCCGATGTTGACAATAACCAAGTCACTGTACTAGTGGTCTTGGCTTGTCACAAGATAGTGTTTCTAGAGAGCTGTCAATGACGCAAAGCTGCTGTGATTGTGTCCTCCTAATTTAAAACTTACGCTGTTAAACAGAATTATTCTAGTATTGAATTGGGTCCTAGTTTTTTCATGTGACCCAAAACTGGGTTTGCCAAGGTAGTCTTCAGCATAAAACTGAACCAGATTATACCCGCTGGTCCCACCCTAGTGAATTTCATTGCCTTTATGAATGCAGTGAAGTAGAGAACATGATAATGTCTGAATAGCATGTCAATGAATAGTTGTTGGTGCCCAGGTAGGTTAATGCTAGGGCCTCTGAACCAGTATTTTAGTGTTCAGTCTTTTTATAGCTTCACCAGATTATCTAAAGTAATGCTGGTTCCTTCAAAATCTGATTTGGCTTCTTTGATCCCTTAACTTACAAGAATTGTTACAGTGCACATCTTGTACATGGCCACAAATAGTCAGGAATAAATGAGTTTTATATTCTACAATTTAATTGTTATGATTAGTGTCACTGCATCTCTAAGGACTACAAATTCATCTAACATGGCTACCTTGAAATTCAGGCTGTAGCAACACAACCAAATCCAATTTGTACAGATGACTGTCTCTGAATTCCACAATACAGCAAATTACATAGCAGAATTTACTTGCGGATAATGTTCAGCCAACAATAAAATGGTACATGTTCCGTTCCTCTATCAGTTTTATTTGTAGCATACAAATTGGGCTGCTTTTATCAGCCATCTGGCCAAATTTCTGAATTATAACATACTAAAGGAACACAGCAGTCTTTTAAAATACCTTAAAGTGGCTGTATCTAAAGCTAAGCAAACCTAGTGGGCTTTTAATTGCATTCATTTAACTGTGTGGGATTGTACCTTTTGAGTCTTGTGCTCAAATTTAAGCCAGCTGGTTTAGGTGACATTCAGCTAACAGCTCAGTCTTGGTACAAAATATAAATCTGCTTCCCAGAGTCCCTTGGAGTGATGTTGGCTCAAAACTAGTCCACTTTCACAAATGTAGATGGTTTCACTACAGGAGTCTAACAGCTCTAGCTATATCTGCCGCACATGTAAGCTGCTTAAATAGAAAGAGTGGTTCCATCCTTTGCTGAACTTATAGAAGACTTGGATGTTGGTGCAGGAACATGAAGAAAATTGTTTTCCTGGTGGAGTCTAAATGATTGTGCAGGTTTTAATATCTAGTAGGCTCCTTAAAATGTAGCCGGATCATGTATTGTTACATCACTTTGGAAGATGAGGCGGTGTTGCCCAGTGGATAGGGCACTGGACTGCAAATTGATTCTTCTGGTTTCCAGTTTTGACACTGACCTTCACACCTCTGCTTTTCCTCTTCGTCAAGGCAGCTTGAGCTATGTAATGTGGAAGGTAGCTTGCAGTGCCAGCCAACAGTGCTCATCAACTATAGACATGAGGTGTTTGAAACTGAAGTTACATCCAGGTTTCACTTCAGAAACTCCTTAATTTTTTTGAAAGGAGGAGGCAGGACACAGATGGGGGAGAAGGGGATTGATTTTTAAAAGTAGTATTCATCATCCTTTTTTCCTTCAGCTGAGGTGACTTAGACCTCACCTCTCTCCGTGTCCCAGTACTTGGTACCCAGAAACCCTGTCTTTATAAGAACATTTGTCACCTGTTTTCTCCATATCTTGTGACTTGACACTTTCCCAGTCTCCCCAGGTACTGTTAGCAGTTCCCTGACAGTCTCTCAGATGTTTATCATGCTATTTTGGGAATTAAATAAGAAGTCACTTGGCTTGCAATCTAGGTATATAGCCTAAAACAATCTGAACATCTACGTCCTTCCCTCCCAATGGTGTTCTTATCTAAAGAAAAGGCAAACCGTACATCGGAACTCTTGATATGTCATGCATAGAAGCACTGAACTTTGCAGGAAAGCTTCCTTTTTATTGCAAAGGATGATCCACTTAAGTATGAAGACTGTATAAGTGGTTCTATAGTGCAGTGTGATTAGCTTATACCTTGTTCAGGGACATGTAACTGAAGTGAGAGGTGTAATTCCGATCTATCCATTTTGGATTAGGGAGGAGATGCTATTGTGCTATGAAAACAAAAGGTAGGGCTTTGGTAGTTATGGGCATGAGTCGCCTGCTTTGCATCAAAACCTACTGCTTTGGTGATATTTAAGAGTAAAAGTTCTAAAATGTAGGATGAAAGAACTGGACAAACTTGACTGAATGGAGTTAAAATGGCATTTTCAGGAACAGTTGACTGGAAACAAACCTTTGTATATAAGGAGAAGCTGGGTTTGTAGTTTCTATCTGATTAGAATAACAATTCTAATAAAAAATTTGTCAGATACCCTCATGTATCAAACATACCAGAACACTGGCAGTAGGAAGCACCTGCTTCACTAGTTAGAGCAAGTATTTGATTAGAACTCGACAAACTCTCCTTCTCTCTTGCCTAATCTGCATGCCTAGTTCCTTTTTAATGCAAACTAAAAAGGAAAATCTAGTCTCATGTAGTAGTTCTTTTGTTTGGCTTTGGGCCAGCCAGTACAACAAATCTGCTGCTACAACTTGGTGGGTAATTCCTACATGAGAGAACTTGTTCTATTGCTGAAAAAGTAATAAGGTTACTGTAATAGCTTTTGGGTTGTTGTAGGAGACATTTTTTGGACTCGCGCTAGTGTATTCAAAATCCACTGATTGTAAAGAAAGTCTTGGTATGCAACACTGGCTATTAGGATTGAGCCACCAGAATATCCAGTCTGTAAACAGAGTATGAACTTCAAAAACAAGTTAGTCATAAAGAGGGGGACTGATTTGAGCACACTTGCAAAAATAAAACTTGGTGTTGAATCTCTTCTCTCTACAGGTAGAATTTAGGACTGAATTGACATCTGCTGGTGATAAGCTTGTAGTTGTTGACTTCTCAGCCACATGGTGTGGACCATGCAAAATGATCAAACCCTTTTTTCATGTAAGTAACAATGCCAAACTCAATACTCTGCTAGTTTTTACAGCTGAGACTTGACTAGTGCAATGCTATCTTATTATAAAACTAGGTCACTATGGATGTCTGAATGGTCTTGTGTTACTTGACACACATGGGGGAAGACTTGCAAGAAAATCTCAGTTGTGACCTCAGTGTGACTGTAACCAAAACAATGATATTCCTAATGTTGTCCAAACAATTCTTCACCATTCTCTTTAAAGCATTCCCTTCCTCCCCCTCCAAAAAAGTGAAATGCTCTTCACAACTTATTGTGAGGATCATAACAAACTGACAAGGTCAAGAAAATTGAAATAAAATTCATAGTCTCTGGTGCCATAAAAGACAGCCTTGTCAAATGATTTTGAAGTCTAAAACTCAAATAACATTCTAACAAAATCACAGAACAGGCTGAAATAATATTAATACTTACAACCCAAACAAGAAAAGTAAAGAACTGTAACCCTGCATGCAACTCTGAATAGCCATCAGTGAAAACTAGGAATCATGATTCATTAGTGTAATATGTGGTCGTAAACTATTACAAATGTGTAGCTTCGAAGTTGTACCAATTTCCTGGTACAGTAGAACCTCAGTTATGAACACTTCGGGAATGGAGGTTGTTCGTAACGCTGAACAAAACGTTATGGTTCTTTCAAAAGCTTAAAACAGAACATTGACTTAATACAGCTTTGAAACTTTACTATGCAGAAGAAAAATGCTGCTGTCCCTTTTTCAGTAGTTTAACACAGTACTGTACTGTATTTGCTTTTGTCTCTGCTGCTGCCTGAGTGCATACTTCCAGTTCCAAATGAGGTGTGCGCTTGACTGGTCAGTTCGTAATTCTGATGCTCATAACACTGAGATTTTACTGTATCTACTTACTTTATGAAGGGTAAACCTTTTTGATGAATGAAGGTGCTTCACATGTGACTCTCCAAAGTTTCAGCGCTATTAAAACTTTTTGTTCTAATTCTCTTGAGGAATTGGGTCAAACTTTCACAAACTATCAATTTTCTTCAGTCAAAAGAGAAAAACATTACAATCTTTAAAGCTATTAAAAAGAAGAATACATGTTTGAGATCCATCTGAAGGAAGAGGGTACATGTATCACTCTGTAGACGTGTAAATCTTACTCTTCAACTGACTTGCAACTTGCTTAATGGTTTTAAAACTTCATTATGGCTTAGGAGCATGCAAATATAATCATCCTAGAGACACATCTGTCACATGACCTCATGGTTGAGGGAAATGCCCTAATAAGTTCCTCTCTAACTACTCTTAGTTTAAAGCTGGGTAGTGGAAGGTTTGCCTTTTACTAAAGATCTTAGTAAAAAGCATTTGAAACTAAAATGTACTACTAAAAATCTTAAAATGACTTCTGTGGTACATGTAACTGAACTCTTGACGCTCCAGCTAGTGACATAATTGCTCTATGGCAAATGAAACTTGTACTTATCTACTTTTTAGTAAAAGATACTGACTGGTAAGATTTGTTTTGCCCCATTTGGGGCTCTTATAAGACTCCTAGAGCACTCTTAAACAAGGTTTATATGAAGTAAAAACTGCAATTTTAACACTGTTTTAAAACTTTAGAGTCTTTGTGAGAAGTTCCCAGACGTCGTGTTTCTTGAAGTTGATGTGGATGATGCTCAGGTAAGGTCCTCAAATAGTGCACCAAAAAGTAATACTGTTTGTGGCAGAACTGGCAGTAAAGGTTAACTTTGCCATGCAATCTAATACTGGGAAACTTGTCTCCTAAAAAGTTGGTCTTTGCTCTCAAAATGGTCAGTTGCTGCAACAGTGGTTACCTAGAGCAAGAAACTAGGGATTAATTGTTATTTCTAAAGGGAATATTTTAATCCCTCTGTTAGTAATTCAGCATTTCTCCATCATGTACTTTAATTCCTAGCCAACACTAATTGACAAGAGATCGGTCTGATTGCTAAAGTGATCTTGATCCTGTACTCCTTGCATATCCAAAACTCCTGTTGTCCTCAGTGCATGTGAATAACACTTGATGGAAACATTCAAACTAGACTAAAATATCAAGAATTCATTTTAAAGTCCAAATGTTAATAGGGGGATTTCTCTAATATCTGGAATCAAGCCATCTTAAAATGTAAACTTGAGTTCGTTTTCAGTTCTTCTAAGGAAACTGAGATCCTCTCAGGAGACTTCTTATGTTCCTAAAAGCTTATGCTTCAGGGTTTTAGCTGGCCATCTACAGCAGTCAGTTAGGGATTCTCTTGCACTCTTACTGTCCTCCACCCATTGTATTATGGGTTTTTTAATATCCTTCCTCAGAAGCATTGGGGTGACCATTGCTGCAGATGGGACATTGGATGGTGAGGGACAGGTCTCTGAGGTGGCACCACTGTGCAGTCTCAGATGCCTGGCTAGCTGGTTCTTCCTCACATGCTTAGGGTGTAACTGATTGCCATGTGTGGAGTTGGGAAGGAATTTTCCCCCCAGGTCAGATTGGCTGTGGCTGGCAGAATAGGAGGGGAAGAGGGTTGACTTCCTTTGCAGCATGTGGATGTGGGTCAGTTGCCAGAATTATCCGGGTATATTGCACAATCACTTCCATGCCATTGAGGGGGGCCTTGGGCACAGGTGCCCCTTGATCCTTGCTTTTGTTGCTTGTGGTACATATGTCTAGTCTCCTGTGGGTTGTACTACTTTGGTCAAATTTCAGTTGTTGGGTGTATTGTGCAGGGGATGGCCTACAAGATACAGGAGGTCAGACTAGGTGATCTGATAGTCCCTTCTGGCTTTAAACTCTGATAACTGCTCAAAGCTTCCACTTGGCCCTCATATAAGTGATACATTTGTTGCATTCTGAAGTACTTATGCTGTAGTAGGCTTGTCTGTGTATTGGCAGTATTTCTAGCTTGCCTGCAAATCTTGTTTAGAATCTGCAGTCATCTTGCACTCCCCTCCCATAGTTTGCTAATGTTATAGAGGGAAAAACTACCTACTTATGTATTTGTCTTCCTGTACCCCTGCTGTGAAGGTACCTTGAATAGCATAGGCACTGCTCTCTGCAGGGGTTGTAGCCAATCTAAATTTCACTCCCTCTTTCTTCCCCCCCCCCCCCCCCCCCCCAAACTTTCAGTTAGGATAACTTAATCAATCTTTGGATATGTGATCTATTAAAGCTGATGCTTCTCACCTGAAGCTATTGTGTGCTAGTGATAAACTATTCTTGAGTGGTAATAAACAGCAGGAACACTACTCATTGCTTAAAAGTATCTGTCCTTTCGTAATGAGTGATAAACACTTCTAATTGGAATATCTTCATAAGCCTTTCCAATATAGGTTCTTAATAATTGGAACAGATGGAAGTAATGTCAGATTGCAAACCTGGCTGACTAGTAGATGCTTGTTTAACAAACTCATTAGGCAGACCTTCAGCTGTGAAATTACCTTACAAATAAGGCATGATATGGAAGAAAGTTAGCTTTCTGTAGTATTGTGCTACTTTCTGCAGAAGTAGTCTTACTTGTTTCTGTCTTAACAAATCCAGCAAAGAGGATGAAACCACTGCTAGTTGTAGGAACAGGAAGACTATAGTATATCCACATAATAACTAGTGACTGGTCTTAAACTGACCAGAGTAGCAAACAATTACTTGGTTCCCTTTCATTTTCTGTAATCTGGTACAGATCTGATGTCTGGTTAGTTGTTTAATTTGCCAAGCTAAAATTGCAGTGAAACTTTCTTTTTAGGACGTTGCTTTAGAGTGTGCAGTCCAGTGCATGCCAACATTCCAATTCTACAAGCAGGGCAACAAGGTAGGTTTTCAACATTCTTAGTGAAACAGTATAGGTGTGGGGAGGGGGGATACTGGATGCTAAAACACTAAATATGAATTAAAATAACTACATGTATAGGGCCCAGAAAAAACATTTTAATGAGGTTTAACTTAGCTGCTGGAAGTTATTTTAGGGGAAAATAGACCACTGGGGCAAGTGACCACACACATAATAGCCGTTTCCTGAATAAGTCTCTGGAGAAATGGCACCTTGTGAAGATCTCACAATAGCTTGCATCTCAATTTACCTCCTGAGCAATATAGTTCACTTACATGTACTCAGAGAGAGCACAAATGGCTTTAGAGTAGCCTCAGAAACAAGGAAGTTCATATTGGCACCCTAAAAAAAGGATAATGCCTAGCCTTCTGCAATGGGTCACTAATGTTAGAAACAAACTACTTCTAAGTGATTTAACTGCATGTAACAAGTTCTGGCAACACTCTAGGTTTGTATTCCAGGTAAATCCTAATGTGAAGTTTTGACCCAGACTTTGAGCCTCTCTTCAGAACCTAATATGTCTGAAACCTGCTTTATGCACCTATCCCAGCTGCAGGCCAGCTGGACTTAATTTTAATTAATATTCCTATCTTTTTGTGACCCAATCATAACTAAACAACAATTCATAACTCTTTTCAAAAAACAAGCAAACTAATCTATTAGATGTTTTTAGTCTTCAGCTATATAGAAAGGCGAAGGAAACAAATTCAGTACTTCTGCACAATACCAAAATTGTAATTACTGTAAATGATGGCAGAGCTGATAAAGTCTAAACTCCAGGCGCTATAATAAAGAACTTGGGCCAAGACTACTTATGCTTTCTCTCAACCTAGAGGTGAGCTTCTGGTTGGAATATCTGGTTTAGTAACCTCATTTGGCTGTCTGTTCTCCAAAAGCACTTAGTTATGAAATAATTGGATGGATGGCTGTGCTCTAATATAAAACAAGTCCTTCATACTGACTGTCATCTTCATTGTGGGCTAGTGTATAACCAGACTTGCAGGCACACTGCTCAAATAATTTTGTTCATGTTAGGAAGGGCCTTCCGGGGGTGGGAGCTGTGGCTTTCAAAAACTAAATTTGCCCATCAGAAAATATGCCTCAAATGTTGGGTGGATTGAGTAGGTGGTTACTATGTCCAGTGTAGACAAGACTCTATCTTCTAGAATCTCTAGTAACTTTCTCTTTAAAACTAAATATATCCTTTTGTTGCCGAGTCTGTTCCTTGTCCACAAATCTAACTCTGAAAACATGTTCTCCAGCAAAGTATTACCTAAAGTTAATTCATCTGAATGTGAAGTGGTGTCATAACACCTTAATGCAGTAGGTGAAAAGACATTGTCTTGCATCCAGAGTTTAACTGAATAGTTTGTGACCTCTTGTGGATAACATGCAAGATTTTTGGTAAGAAAAGTTTAATTCTTTACAACTTTTGAGAGCCAAGATTGACATGGCATATGTGTAGCTGTTTCTTATGAAATCTGTAAGTGTGTGTGTGTGTGTGTGTGTGTGTGTGTGTAAAAGACTGGAGTCAGTAGGAGGTGCTTGGAGAACAATAAAGCAGAGTCTGGCCCAAAGTGTGTAAAATACTTTGGGGTGCGGAGCTGCAGAATACAAAATCTGGAAATCAAAACAATACTTCAAACCGCCAACATTGGCCACTTCTTTATCCTCTGATTTATGGGACTAAAATTGCCAATATCTTTCCAGGAATTATAAAACTCTTTGGGCTAAAAATCACTATTTTAAATGGCTATTCTTAAACAAATTATTGTTACAGGTGCATGAATTCTCTGGAGCAAACCGAGAGAAGCTGGAAGAGAATATTACCAAGCTACGCTGATCGAACAGTGTGAACAGTTAATGTTGACTGTTTATATATAGCCTGTAACTTTTTCTACTTATGGAGTCTAATCAAGTTAGCTAAATATGTATCCAAAAATTTTGTCCCTTCAGACTGTAAATGAGTACAATAAAATGTAAATTCTTCACTTACAGAGACTGCTGTCCAGTGTGTGAAACTAGGCAGCTTGCATAAGATATAGCTGTATTACTTCTGGGGGTGGATGGCTAGGTGGTAATGTGGTGGTCTACTGGACCAAATGCTAGATATGAAGTTAATCCCCTCAATCCCTCTGAAGTACTCTCCTAAAACTAGATGGCCATTCTCAGTAGTATTGACCTGTTTTGTACAGCATGAGAGCGCCAATTTCCAGCAGTCTGTCCTGTTTAAACAAAGTTCTCAGTGCAAAAAGTTCACCATAACCCATCTTAATCCAAAAAGCATGTTTTGCAGTAATAGACACATTACATGGTACTATTTTACTCTGCTCAGGTTTGGAGGTTCCAACACACTACGTTGTCATGCTAATGTCTGACTAAGGTACCAAAACTATAGTTTTAATGGATTTAGAGGGTCACAATGTTAGAAAAACATTCCCAGGATTCCATATTCAAGATGTTTCGCTTGCCTGGCTCAGAAGTAATATCGTGAGAAATATTTGATGCAAAAACTTGAAATAATGAGGGTGGGGAAGAGTGGTCCAAGCAACCTTAGCAAGGTTGGTATGTGTTACGTGCTGTCAATTGGTTTCATTGTCTGGATGACTTCAGGTTAAAGCTTTTTTCAATTTCTAAGTCTAAAAAAAGTACTTTGGTGCTGTTTTTGTCACAAGATCATGGGTCTGGTCTATTCCCCACCCTGTAACCAGTCCCCTGGGAGTGCCCAAGGACCCACACCATCCCCGGGGGCAGGCACCTGTTCTCTACGACTGAAATGAGATCTTGGGGCACTAGCAATACCTGTCTTTCTTTAGTTCCCTGTGGCAAATCTAGACAAGCCAGACTCGTACAGTACAAGGCCCCTGCACACCTTCAGGGCACAATGCGCACTGAGTATTTGCATCTGCCTTCCAGAGTTTTTTGCTGTTAGGTGTCAATTGTTCAGTCATTGGGGTTTGCCTTGTTTCTTTGATTCTCAGTTGATATGGGTTGGTTTCACCAAGTTCTTTAATGACCCATTGGTGACACCTCATGTCTCTTCTTCAACTCCAAGAGCAGTGTTAACCTTTCGCACCTCTTGGGTAGCAATGAAAAGCACCAAGGGAAAGTGAGGCAGACACAAGCTTCATAAATTACAAAAAATTCCCACTCTCACACTGAACTCAGCTGACTCAAGCTGAATAGAGCTGGGGACTTCTTGTGTGACATCTTGTGCATTAACTCATCACAGAGCAACCTTACAATACTACTGATGAGTTAGTGGCTAGGAGGTTTTATTGCATGGATCATCAAACTTAATAGTTTAGTGCTACACTCCCTTGCACAAATCAGACTATAGGTAGAATTTACAGGTCAAGTTTATAAAAAATAAAAATAAACTTGCAAAACCTGTCACGGCTGACCTATTATAGTAAGATTTCTTTTTTTAAAGATGTGTCCTGGTCTCCCATTGTTCAGCAAGAAGGCTGAGCTGTATTTGTGTGAGTGGGCCAGGGCTCGCTTTCAGCCAGAACTACTTGCCATCTTTTCAAGAGCAGTGGAGCTGCAGGCAGTAATTCCCATCAACTATTAATAAAGTTGTGCTTGAGTCGATCTTGCTTTTCCTAGCTAACTTAGACTCTCAAGCCTGTGTTCCTTGGCAATAGGTTAGTCAACTGCCTGAACCTTCAGGCTGTTTGTTTGAAGTTAAGATAGTTGTACTGACACAACTGGAAGGCTAAAGATGTAGTATTTATACCACATGATAGTTCAGACTCTAGCAGGGATGTTTCCTCTTGCCTTAGCATCAGGCATAGGACACTTCAGGTTTTTTTGTTTTTATAAGATGTTGACTTTGGACTCCATTTGGCTTCCTGGAGCCCATGCAGAATCTAATCTGTCTTGGCAACGGAGTGTTGCCTAATTTTAAGATGCATTAGCTGCTGTTGCACTTAATACATTCAGCATTCATTTATCGGCATGATAGCCAGTAGAGCTAATATAATATAAGCCCTGACTTGGATGATATGAGCATGCTGTGTGAACCTTTTAGTTGCCAGATGAAAGGCATCAGTCTGTCTACACCTTATTCATCATTTGTAGGGGTTCCGACCTCCCTGTTGTCTCCATAGAGTTCGCTGCTTCTATGTGCATCTGCAGATAGAGCTCTGATGTTACTTACTATTACAAGCGCTCCATTTTAGGCTATCTTCAATATCTTTTGTGTTGAGCACTATTTTGTCTATCTGGGCCTCCCTTACTCTTCCACAACATGAGATAGTCTTAGGCACTCAGCTCACAGGAGGTAAAGGCATATGACCACTAAATTCCTGCAGAATTTCCTACATGTGGATACATACTTGTCCTAGTGAGTGTGAAGAGCTGTCTGAGTTAAAATAAGGAGTTATCCTCAAATTGGCATGGTGGGTGTAGTCTGAGGGAAGGAGATGGTGTGTAAAACACAGATGGAGGGGGGAAAGATTAAAATTAAATTACAAAGTTGGCAGATGTCAGTCTTTCCCAAATTAATGCATCAGTCTTTCCCAAATTAATGCATAGCTGATCAGTCAGGTTATTTGATGCACAAAAACAGAACAAGTCATAAATATTGCCACTCCATGTAGTCAGTTTCATGTCAAGATAAGAACCATTTTCTTTATCAATAAGATTTTAATGGGTTATTTTTCTTTGCATAAACATACAGCATCTTAGAACAGCTCTAAACTATTTAATCAGATTACTGCTGGGTTATATGTTGCTGTGACTGTGACAAACATGGTGTTAGCTACAGAATAAAATCTACATTTTAAGGGGATCTAGTACAAATCTATTTTATTGACTATTTAGCAGATGCTATTTAAAAGATTGCAGTTGACTTCTGCTCTCTGCATGGACCTTAGATATCAAGCTCTTGAGCAGCTCAGTTAAGGTTCCTTGTTTTTAAAAATAAGGTCAGATCCTCAGTTAGTATAAAGCCATATAGCTCCACTGACAGTTTACCTGGCTGGCTTTTTTCAAAATGCCCATGAAATTAGAGTATTCTTGTAAGTCTCACAATCACATGTATCAATGAGGACTGATTATAGCAGTGATAAAGTGGATTAATCATTTAGCTGCAGGAGCAACAATTTGTTGTAGCATTGCATTATTTGACGAAGCATCACTTTCCCCAAACCGGTTGGAGACTTGTCTATTTTGAGTATACTTTAGCCCATTAAAAGTTGTGGCTGAGCATTTGGCAACAAGACAGATAAGCTATTGGTATGGCTTTCCTAAAGGAATGAACCACATGCCCTTTACACTTTTATTATTGCTTTTCCAAGGTTTTCTCCCTTTAACAGTCCCATGAAAGCTGCTGGCATTTTTTCAAATCCTTCAGTAACATGTTCTTCACACTTAATTTTCCCCTGTGCAAAGAAAAACAACAATTTTACTCAATTTTCTTCTACCGTGCAGGTGGTCTAAACTGTAGCTAGATTCCTTCAACTCGTATCATTCCTAGCAGCTGATGTGAACTGTGGTAGTTCTGTTGAAGTCAATGGAGCTGAACCTGTTTACATCAGCTAAAGAGCTCACCCTTTGAGAGTAAAAGGTAATGTCTGTAGTGTAAGATTATTTGTTTTAGTGACCTCTCACTATTCAATACTGCTCAGCAAAAGTGATTTAAACATGGTTGCTGCTTTTGGTGGCCCATCTACCACTGTTCCTCTGACTGATGCCAAATTCTCTTTGGAACATCAGTTACATTTGCAGAAGCTAACTGCACTAGGTCTAACAGAACTAAGTCTTCAGATGTGGAGCATTAGAACTCTCCAGAAACAAGATTTCTCTTCCTCCCCTAGTAAGTGCAGTAGTGCCAACCCAACTGATAAGCCCCACAACAACTGTTGGGTGCTTTGATGCTTAGTGTTGTCTTTAGGTTTCACATTTTCAAGCTTTTCTCTGCAACCAAACTGAGGTAATAAAAAAAAATTCACAAGAATTGGCCATGCTTTAAGTGGAGGGGTAAGGAATAGAGCAAGTACTTTAAATATTTGGCAGGGGGCAAAAAAGGCAGAGTTAAAAGGTAGTTGGACTAGTTTTGAAATGGGTCTTAAGAGATTTGCATTTAAATTTAGGGATATCCCAGGCCCCCTTCTCACTCACTTGTCAGCTGACTGACCTTACAGTGGAGATGAGCTGAGTTTGGTACCTGGCCCCTTCAGTTTTGGCCAAGCATAGTTTTGTCTGCTGCATGCCCTATTCCTCTCTTCTGTATTGTGTTCAGCATGGTTTGATGCTGACACACACCACCCCTACACCACCTGCTAGAGGGACACATTGGGTGTGGAAGAGCAGTGTATGAGAGCAGACTTGGCTCGTGTTAGTGTAGACAGTCTTTTGTAAAGAGGGAAGTAGCAGCATAAGTTCACGTACTGTAGTCTGAGAAACTGCCACACCTCTTACCTCTACAACCCATCTTAACAATATCTTCAGGGCCTCCTCACGCCTGTCATTCCACCGTGAGACGATAAATCCTTCCATGTAAAGCTCCTTGAAGATCATTGGGATCTGAACATAAGGTCCTGTTGGAAATGGTAATAGACAAAACCATGGTAATATTACTTTGTTTAAAACCAAACCAATGTGCAGTAAGGAGAAGCTGAGATGCTGATAAAGCCAAGCTAGTCAGCCCAAGGCTGCACTTCTTGACCAGATTGGGCCCTGCACAAAATGGTGACAGTGGTGGTGCAGACCACCTCCCCCCCTGTATACCCATAGCCCAGTGGTTAGAGCACTGACCCAGGAACCTGGAATGTTAGAAATGCCTAACCTGATTTTCACCTACAGTCAATACTGACTTCAATTGACTACCAATGCAAATCCTACCATAAAAGTAAGACCATCAAACCCTAGCGAAAGAACTTTTCCATCTAGATGACTGAACTGTGTAATCCGCTTTGCTATAGAAATAGCATGCATCAGGCTGTTTTACTATTGCTGTTTATGTTTACTTAAAAACATTTGTTAGGTAA